AGGTAGCTGGACCTTATATTAAACTCTGCCTTGTTTTCACCAGCTTTTTACCTCCTCTTAGTTACCTGGTGTTAGCTAACATGAGTAAGAACACACCTTTTACCCTCGTGATGATAAGGACAATGTGACTAGTGGCATTTTGGCCTTGAGAAATTGTGAGGTTGCTGAAAGCATGGATTGGAGGAGAGCAGAAGAGGCAGAAGTAGCTTGTGTTCATGTATTTCAAGCTATGCCTCTGTCTGGGGGATCATATTGCCACATTTGCTCTCTTAAGTGGCTCAGCAAGTGTTGCTGGGTCTTTAATTCTGTTGGTTCATTACTCATGCATGAGTGACTGTAAGTAGCTGTTGCAAAGTGGCCAAACCAGACAGTCTCTACGTAAAAGAATAAATGGACACAAATCAGACGTCAAGAATTATAACATTCAAAAAACAGTCGGAGAACACTTCAATCTCTCTGGTCACTCGATTACAGACCTAAAAGTCGCAATTCTTCAACAAAAAAACTTCAAAAACAGACTCTAACAAGAGACTGCTGAATTGGAATTAATTTGCAAACTGGACACCATTACATTAGGCTTGAATAAAGACTGGGAGTGGATGGGTCATTACACAAAGTAAAACTATTTCCCCATGTTTATTTCCTTCCCCCCTCACCAACTGTTCCTCACACGTTCTTGACACACATTCTTGTCAACTGCTGGAAATAGCCCACCTTGATGATCACTACAAAAGGGGTTTTTTTCTCTCCTGCTGGTAATAGCTCACCTTACCTGATCACTCTCCTTACAGTGTGTATGGTAACACCCATCATTTCATGTTCTCTGTGTATATAAAATCTTCCCACTCTATTTTCCACTGAATGCATCTGATGAAGCAAGCTGTAGCTCACAAAAGCTTATGCTAAAATAAATTGGTTAGTCTCTAAGGTGCCACAAGTACTCCTTTTATTTTGCGGATACAGACTAACACAGCTGCTCCTCTGAAATTCATCAAAGTGGGATCTAAAGAGAAGGGAGCATTTGCCATTGACCCAGGTTCACACTTCAGGATGCAGAGTGAAGAGCCGGGAGATACCCTGCTGCTCTAGCACCCATTCCCCCCTGCACTAAATGAGATCATGTGACGGGGATGGGTTGGGGGGGAAATGGGCTGCCCTAGCCTTTCAAACTACTATTACGTTTTCTCAGTCAGTCAAAGGGAGTGATTTCAGGAGGCGAGAGGAGAAAAGTGCCTTCTCTGTAGGAAAGAGGCTTGTCGCATGTAATTTAAGTTGCCTAAAGAGCTACATTGCCTCATGCTAGTCCTATTAGCGTCCCTAAATGCAGCCGATTGATTTTTTGCCAGTTTACTTCTCTCTGTGCTTTAAACTGGGAGAACACTGATGTTGTTAAAGAGCTCTGTGTCAGCACCCAGGCAGCAGTAAATGCAGAGAGAGAGAGAGAGAAAGGGCATGCTCGTGGACTCAAAGGTCTCTGATGTGAACTATGCAAGTGTTAAACAAGTCGTTGTCGGGGAGGAAAGCATGTTATTCACCTCACTTATGCATTGCAATGTATAGATATTTAATAGTCTTCTGTCAGAGGGGTAGCCGTGTTAGTCTGGATCCGTAAAAGCGGCAGAGTCCTGTGGCATCTTAGAGACTAACAGACATACTGGAGCATGAGCTTTCGTGGGTGAATACCCTCTTTGTCGGATGCATTCTTTGCCGCTTTTAATAGTCTTCAGTGGCCTAAATTTCCTGCTGTTTTTTTTTGAGGTCCAATAGGTGCCCCAAATCTACTTCAAGGCATGGGTCCGATCCTCAGCTGGTGTAAATGGCCATACCACCACTGAATCTTGGGGTAAGCGATATTAGTTAAGGATCTGGCCCATTGCAACAGGATTGCTCAAAGGACAGCTTTTGCTGGAGAGTACGTATGGGTTAGGGTGCGAGCCTGGGGCATAGGAGACGGGTGTTCAATTCCCCCTCTGCCATGGAATCCATGTGTCATTTAGACTTTCTATGCCTCGGCTCCCTCAGGGCAGGTATTTCCCTTCCTCGCACAGGTGCTGGGGGGATGAGTACATCAAAAGCTGTGAAGTACTCAGATCCTACAGCAATGTGGCCCATAGAGGTACCTACGATAGGAGGAACTTGGCTCTGGGGCACATACGAATCCTCTTAAAACAGGGGGTTGGTTAATCTTCATTTCATGGCCAGGTACTCAGTGCAAGGAATAAATTGCAGACACGAGTGTGTATTTAAAAGGCAGCCATTTATTCCGTGAATGATGAGACCTCACACAGGGGTGTCCAAGTTCACCCCTTTGTATGCCTAGTGGAGGCACTCAGTGACCCCACGCCTCAAACAGCCACCTTGCCAAATGGTGTAGCAAAAGAAATGGAACTATATGACCTGCCAAAGCCACATGGGCAGGCCCTTCACTTCAGAACGTATTGCATGGCCACCACCTCCTTCCCTTCTGTGCATCTCTTCCTGAGACCCACGTCTGCTGCCTTGCCTAAGCGTAGGGGATGGGCCTCATAAATGGAAGAATTTAGATAACATGTATAGTGAGAGAAAGCTCAGACACCGCGAGCACAACGTTTTCGTCTCAATCCCAGAGTACTGGGCCATCTCATGCATCCCGTGCAACTGGGAGCCAGAAGCACAAAAAAGCCAGGTATGGCTTAAACAGTGCTGTGGACTTGTTTCATGCTCGCTCTGCTTGACACATTTATATTCCTGTCACATCCAGTGTGAGGACAGAATTTTTTGACACCCTCCATCCTCATCCTCTCCAACACATGGTAAATTTCATCAAAGAAACAGACCGAGCCTGTGATATGTTCTCCAAATCCGCTCCTTCTTGCTCAGCTGATGGTATCTGCCTGGATGATGCATGCTGCTATCTTGTGCAAACATATGGGAAGGGAGATTGAGGAGAGAGATTCTCCAACTGTTTGTCATGGAAAAAATAAATGACAAGACTGAGCAAGCACTGCCCCCTTACATGCCTCTTCAAAAGAGCACTCACTCTGGAGAGCGTGGGAGTTTCCTCCCATCCTTTCCATTATTAAAAGAGCTACAGTCCTCGGTGACCCATTCCCAAAGGGGGAATAATTTTCCTTAGCCCAGAGTTGTAGGAAATAGATCTGTAATGCACATGCAAAGAGACAAGTGTTATATGCCGAGGCCCTGGTTTGTTTGGTAGAAACCTGGTTCAGCTTGCATTTCTGAGCGGCTTCGGACCCCACCAGACTACATCCAATCCTGAAACCTGACCCAGACCCTCTTTCTCCAGTTCTACTTATCACAGTACACTTCCTGCAATAGTTCTGAAGTGAAGGGCCTGCCCATATGGCTTTGCCATGTAATATATTTCTATTTCTTTTGCTAAAGCTTTTGGCAAGGTGGCTGTTTGCTGTGTTGGGCTAATTTGTGCCTGCACTAAGCATACAAAGGGGTGAACTCGGACATCCCTGAGTGAGGTCTCATCATTCATGGAAGAAACGGGTGCCTTTTAAATACACACTCGTGGCTGCAATTTACTCCTTCCATGGAGTACCTGGCCATGAAACGAAGATTAACCGACCAACTGGTTTAAGGGGACTTGTACGCGCATCTGTTTCTGTGGAACCTTCCGAAGCCAGTGCCTACGCTTCACCAATTTTTGTTACCGCACACGTAAAAGACACTTCAAAAGGCAATCTTAAGCCAGTTGGGATCATGTTATAAAGAAAACAAAATTACTTCTTCCCATCCTAACCGATTTTTGAATGAGCAAATGAAGACAAAAGGTCACATCATGTGCCAGTCCAGAAAACGTGTAGTCCCCATTCCAATGGGAAGTCTGCCAATAGGAAAAAAAAAAAAAAAAGTCCCAGTTTCTTAGCACCAGCAAAATATAGCTGATGCTTCTCTACTGTCTCTGTGCATCTGTTTATGTAAAACCGTAAAGCCTGTTTGACGGGGAAACATCTCTCAGAAGGGACACAGATGGCCTGCGGTGCTTGAAAGTTGGAGAGAGTGAAACACATTCTCTGAAACCCTCTTTCTCCTCGGTCATTGGGTAGAAAGATAAAGGGATAAGCAGAATTCAGGTAGCTGTTATTATTCAGAATAATTTGACAGACATATTGGGAGTCCATCATAATATCAACTTTTGCAAGGCATCAAAGCAAAGTGTGATTGTGCATTGTTCAAATGTACAAATGCATTTTTCTACTTCGATTGGAAGCTCTTTGGGGCAAGGATGCTCTATTTGTTGTTGTAAGAAAAGGAGGACTTGTGGCACCTTAGAGACTAACCAATTTATTTGAGCATAAGCTTTCATGAGCTGCAGCTCACTTCATCGGATGCATTCACGAAAGCTTATGCTCTCTAAGGTGCCACAAGTCCTCCTTTTCTTTTTGCGGATACAGACTAACACGGCTGTTACTCTGATATTTGTTGTTGTGTTTGGTGCAGCACCTGGCACAACGGGGTCGTGGTCTGTGACTGGGGCTCCCAGGCGCTACCTCAGTACAAATGGGAAATAATGCGAGGGAGTTCCTGTAGTGTTATTGTCGGTCAGGATACTGATAGTTAGGACATGGGAAAACTACTTAGCTCCTCTGTGCCTCAGTTTACACATTTGGTAAAAGAGGCATTGGGGGCACTCATGGAGCCAACGGTTGTTAACAGCATTTTTCATCTGAGGATCTCCAGTTATTGTGCAGTCACTAATTAAGTGCAAAGCATCATTGTTGTTAGTAATAGTTGTGATTACCTCTGGTGTGTCAGACAGCCTCAAAGTTACTCTGGTTTTCCTTTAATGAGAAGGATGCCAACATTAACCAATGAGCTTTCCCGAATCCGCCACTGACATTCTTGTACATTTTGGTTGTCTCCTGTGGCTTTAACTTTATTGGTATCCTTGTCACAATTTGGAATTTTCCAGACATTGTTTAGCAGCAAAGGAATAAAAGGCTAATTCACTTCTGGGGGGGTGGGACGACTTGTTATTGTTGTTCCAGAAATCCAAAATTTCCACCTTCGAAAAGATGTGGGCGTTCATGAGCAGCAAGCCATCAGCACTCGTTAAAAATAACGAGGAAGGAATCCAGAGAGCCCTCACTGCAGAATACGCCCTCCTAATGGAGTCCACCACTATTGAATATATCACACAAAGGAACTGCAACCTGACCCAGATTGGAGGGCTGATGGACTCCAAAGGCTATGGGATTGGAACTCCCATGGGTAAGTGACCATGGTGCAGTTTGTGTACACGGCCCAGAGAGGGGCTGCTTAGCATAAACACAACAGCTGGCATTGAGCTAATCGCTCCCAGCCATGTATTTCTGAAGAAAACACCCAGGAGTATCTGCTGGGTGAACAGGGAGATGCACAGCCCTGCTTACACAGACACGCTGCCTGCACTTGGTGGCTTTTGTCTTCCTTCCCCGCTGCGTGTGTAACTGCATCCGCTCTCCCTCCCCCGCAGGTTCACCGTACCGGGATAAGATCACCATTGCGATTCTCCAGCTCCAAGAGGAAGACAAGCTGCATATAATGAAAGAGAAATGGTGGCGAGGGAGCGGCTGCCCTGAGGAGGAGAGCAAAGAGGCCAGCGCTTTGGGGATACAGAACATCGGTGGGATTTTCATTGTCCTAGCAGCAGGCTTGGTGCTGTCGGTATTCGTGGCGATGATTGAGTTTGTCTACAAGCTGCGCAAAACAGCGGAGCGCGAGCAGGTATCGGCACCGTTGGTCTCCTGGCCCCCACCCTGCAGGCCTTGGAGCCTAGCTCAGGTCCCAGGTTTGGCCTCTCGCAGGAGTCTGGGAGTCGTGCTCAGGGCGCACACAGCTCGGAGAGCTGGAAGACTGGTAGCAGTGCTACTTGCTGCATGGTCAAGAGGACCCTGGCTGTGTCAGAGCCCTGAGCGCCGCTCAGCCTCACCAACTGGGGAAAAGCCCTGGCAGCCCAGAGCAGGGATAAAACGAAGATGCCATAGGGTGGGACTCACAGCTCTTCTCCCTATACTGTATGGCTTGGATGTCCTAACCAAATCCCCCATCTGGAAGGATGTTGCCTCCAGGGAGGGGATGATGGACTGTACCTGCCTTGGGCGAGGTAGGGCCTGGTGCTGAAGAAGGTGGACAGAAAACAGGGGGAAAAGAGAAGGCCAGTGACTTGCAGGGAGCAGCCCTGTAGCCAATGCAATATGCATCTCCCAGGGAAACAAGACACCCGGTCACCAAAATGGGCTTGGCAAGTGGCAACTCCACGAGCAGTAAAGGAGCCACTAAACCTTGTCCTGCCATGCTATGGCAATTGTCTTGGCAAAACCAGGGAACTGGCATAGTATTCCATGCACTATTCCTCATTAGTTAACCCTTTATACACTATTTCTAAATGGAATCTTAACAGAAAGTGTGGCCAGGCCCACCTCTCATGGTTGCCATTTGCCCCTGATGGAAGAGGGTTTATGCCCCTCATACTTTTTACCTTGTGCTGCGTATACAGCGATGTTACGCAGAACATAATTGTGTGTATGAGTAACTTCTATAACCAGAGACTGAAATAAGTTGGCATAAGCAAAAACCAGTAAACGAGCCAGCCCAGGTCAGGCCGCAGCAGTCCTGTGACACTCAGCATGCCACAGCATTCCTACTCCCAGGGAACAGGGAACGCCCCTGCAATTTCTTACAGTAACCTATGCTTTGTCTTTAGCCAGTCTCAATAGATTGATGGGGAAATCTCACCCGTGTGCATAGGGGCCCACCAATGGCCTCCACAGCCCTGTGCAGAGTGGTACATAGGAAGCATGCTGGCCCTCTGTGCAGACAGTTCTCGAAACACCTTCCTAGGAATAACAAAACCCTTTGCCTCCACTCTTCCCCAGCGCTCCTTCTGCAGCACCATGGCCGACGAGATCCGGTTGTCACTCACCTGCCAGCGGAGGGTCAAACACAAAGCCCAGCCACCCATCATGGTGAAGACGGATGCCGTGATCAACATGCACACGTTCAACGACAGACGGCTACCAGGGAAGGACAGCATGACGTGCAATACTGGGCTGACGCCCGTGTTTCCATAGGGAACCGGGATTGGGGTGGAGGGAGGGACTTGCTGGAGGCGGGATCGGATGCTCTCTCCATTAGGGAGGAAGGGATAAAAATCCTAGTTTGGTTCAGTTTCAAGAACAAGGCCTTTAACACAACTCCATCGGTCGCCAGAACAGGAACGGGAACTTCAAAGCATGGACTGTAACCTGGTTTTATTTTTTTAAAAAGGCTTAGATCCTATAGGCCTCATGGAGTCCAAACACACTACACATCCAGGAGTCTGATGTTTACATATTGAACACACATGGAGGCAAGCAAGAATCAAGCCGGACTGACCCTCAGTGGATAACGAGGAGCCCCCCGAAACCCCAGGCTTCCTTTAGCATGGCAATAAAAAAGAAACATTTTGTGAGTACAGTACAGATGTGGATTGAATGACAGTCCACCTGAGCATCTATTCCGAACTGACGTACACAGCACATTTAGGATAGAATGACTGGGAAGGGGAACAAATATAAATAAATAAAACAATTGTCAAAGCTGCTGCCTTCTCTCGAAGCAGTCCACCATGACCTTTTACCTCAATGCTGTGCTGGCTTCTTGTCATCGAGAGCGGGAAGTCCACGCGTGCGTGTGATGCAAAAAGGCGTGTGGAAATACATCGGAGTCAGACAGCGGCTAAGAAGGGGCAAATGATCTTTAATGGACTCCCAGACACAGGGCATAGGATTAGGATAGTGCACCAGAAACTGCACCATCTGAAAACAATGAACAAAATCCTCCTGTGCTAATTCCCCCTGCAATGCCAGGGCGGGATTGTGATCTTCAGGTCACTAGCTCCTTCACAGCCTGTGGGAAGGTCACGTTCCCCTTAGAAAAATCTAGACTTCAGCATTAACACGAAGGGAAAGTGAGGGAGCTGTTTCTGGGAAGCTAATGGGTAAGTCTACTCTGCAATGAAAAGCCCAGGATTAATAGAATTCAAGTTTGTTAACCTAGGGCTTGAGTGTCTACACTCATTTGTAACCCCAGGTTAGGAATTGTTGAACCCTGGGTCCCAACCTGGGACTCCAGCATCTACACTGCATTATGTGGATCGAGTCCAACCACCCATATGCCAGGCCTCCTAGAGCCCGCCAAAAATGCGGCCTCTCTAGCCATTTGTTCATGGTGCAGTGTGGGAAAACTTGACTCTCCAGAGGACAAAGAAAGTCTGCCTATGGGATTGTGGGATATTTCTGGCAGACTCCCAGAGCACGAGTCCAGTGGGGCCGCATCTACACTGCAGAGCAATAGGGCTTGGACCTTGGGTCTTGGCTTGACTCAGGCTTGGACCCTCCACTTCCATGCGGTCCTGGGACCCTGGATCCAAGTCCTGGGTTAGTGTGATTTGTGCGTAGACTTAAAGGGGTTAGGCTTGAAGCCTGAGTTCAAACCCTGGGCTAACATTGCAGTGTAGACACACCAAATGTTACTAACTCCAGCAAGTTTGATGGCAGTAAATTATGGCTGCATTGGTTTCATATTCCTGACAGGCAGGGAGAGCCGGGTTGTTTGTTTAGTTTAAAATTAATGTTTAATTTGGGGGTTTGTGGGACATCGCAGACTTGCAAAGAAGATCTTGGTCCAAATAGACAGGACCAGTCTTGAGTCAAACAGCACCCTGGATGAGCCAGAACATTTCACTGTTGCTCTCCCAGTGCACTCAGTGTCCTACAACAAATGCATTGCCATTTTACGCTACCAAAAACCCACCAAACAAACAAGAAACTCCCATTTAAAACATTCTCCATGAATGGCGCTCGGATTTTCAGCAGCTACCCAGGTTGCTTGTCCCACAAGGCTGGTCCTGCAGATGCATTCAGTCAGAATTACCAAAGACGCGTGAGCTGATTTAGAGGTAATCTTTGAGTAGGGTTTGTTTTTTTGGTTTTGGTTTTTTTGCATTCTGCCCCCTCAGAGCATCACATAACAGTGTTCAATGTGACATGCCACTGGCTCATTTCCTTCCTGGCCCTGTGCAGAACCAGCGATAGGCTGCAACGTGCAGAGATCTTTTCTAAAACGTTGTGGGAAATGTGCTGAAAAAATCAGTTCAGGGATTTGACGCTGCCCGATTATGGGGAGGATTTAGTGTGAAGGAAAATGATGCTCAACTTCCTCTTTTAATGTAGCATCGCTAGAAATCTGCCATAGGGACTCCCTGCACCTTCCATTCTCTCCCATCAGAACAGAGGCTAATCCTCAAGGCTGATGTTCCCTCCCACATACAGGGCCAACACGAAGCTTATATACCACTTAAGTCCTATTTTGAGGGCTTTAGCGGGGCTTTAAGTAATGCCTTGTGCTTGGTCTCTTCACGGGGTAAATCTCACCCTACATAGTGTGAATTTAGGAAGGTTTTATGGCTACAGCAGGAGTCAGCTGCTAAACTAATCCAATTTTTCATGTTCTTATTTAGAAACATTTTTAGAGATTTCGCCTGACCCCAAAGAAACAAATCCATTTGCAGTTGCAGTCTAAGACACACTAGCATTTTTGACCCTCCTCTTTCTTTACTTTGTTCAGTTTTAGTTTTTAGGGTGGTGGTGTTTGGGCCGAATTAGCACATTTGCTCCAGGGAGAACTGTGGCTGTTTTTCACCAGAGCACGTACTTTGGTTTGGTTTCTTCACACAATGAAAAAAGACAATGTTTTATCCTGAAATAAAATGGTAGCTTTTCTTGCATATGATCCTGATAAAAATTAGCCATTTGGCAGAGAATTTGCCACTATTCTCACCTTTTCTTTTCACAGATGCCATGACAAGTTAGAGGTGAAACTCTCTGTGTGTGTCAGACTCCTCAGAGTTGGGTGACCAAGGGTGAAATTCACCCTAGTGCAGTGGGCCACGGCCCACTTAAATCCCTCTTCGGCCCTCAAACCAGGCAGAACGGGATTGAAGTGGGACGTAAGTGTGGTGTGTAGGCTTTGTGCCAGCCTCCTTCAGAGGGAGAGCACCATCCCAAGAGCAATAGGCACCAATCTGATTGCTGACTCACAGAAAGCAACTCCGTTTAATTGTGACAAGGTAGGTGACTTAGCCATGTTTTGCCCTGCCACCTCATACCTGTCTCCATTCCTAGCCTCACTCAAGCTGAATTTAGACCGCTTTTGTTTGACTTCCAAAAACCTGGCTGACTTCAAATTCAGTGTTTGATCCAAAGGGGTTGGATCCCAACAGCAACACCATCTCTGTCACTAAAACAGCAATAAATTAAGAAATGTACGAAGAGCAGAAAGTGGGGTGGAAAAAATACCTCCCTCCCCCAAAACTAATTATTTTCCTTCTCCATCTCTTTGCACATCTGGGGGCATTTCAGACAGGCCATTTTTACACTTTTCTTCTGGGCTTTCCAAGCTCTTAGAAATAGATTTCACAATCAAGGGGAAGGTAAAAGCAAAGTCAAAACCCTGCTGGACTTAAAAAAAAAAAAAAAAAAAAAAAAAAAAAGGCCCCCCCCTTTAAATGCTCCAACAGGGTGAGTAGTAACAAGACTATACAAAGTATCATCATTTCACTCCTTAGAAAATTATTTTAAAGAATAAAATTTAACCAACACCATTTACTTGTCACAAACAATGTGACGAGTGAGTTTCTGTCACTGTTGTCCCAAATTTACAGACGACCATGTGGAATTACCACTGTTTGCGACCAGCAAGAAAAATCCTTGCAGATTAACTTTTTCTCTATCTCCACAATTACAGTAAACTGTCCGTGAAAGAATAGCCCATTTCATGCTTCTAAATGTTTAAAATCCTGAGTATGAAAACTTTCAGCCCTACAGAACAGCTGCTTGCTGCTGAATATGGAGAAAATCCTGTTGGAATGGAGAGGAAATAGCCAGAAGCCAGACACAGACAGGTGTACAGGTTAGTGACAGAATGGACAGCAGAACCACAAGGAGTCCTAAAGGTGCTGGCGTGTGTACCCAGCAGAGGCCAGGGAGGCGTATGGACCCAGCGGTGTAAATAGCAAAGGGACTGTGGAATGCACAGAGGGGAACGTGGGTAGCTCAGAGCCAGGAGGATGAGTGAATCTGTAACTGTTAAAAGGTGGGGGCAACATCTCTCGTATAGTCCACAAGCAGCAGCAGTTCAGGCCTCATCTCCTCATGGGCTGTTCCCCGCCTCTAACGCAGATTCTCCTGGGCCTTTACTGAGATGCCAAATAGGTTTCCTTGTGGTGCAGATCTTTCATAACCACCCACATCTGTGCAATCAGTGTCTCACTGCAACTACCATCCCGTAAGCTCTACTCTCATTCATATATATATAGAGAGAGAGACAGACGTGCACATGCCTAAAAGTATATATTGTTAAAAGTATATGATACACATACAAAGGTTTTTAAATACTATCTGTATATATTACCAGAATGCCATCATATTTTTCTAATGCCATCTGGCAATGATCTACAAAAGCCACAGGAAGAGTGGAAGGGTGAGAGGTCTCTATGTCTCCTGCCATTCTGCCCTCCTTGCCCCACCCCAACAGAAAGGGATCTCGGGTATGGCTGGAGGCAGTTTGTGGAGCCTGGATAGTGACCACTCTTGTCCCAGGGGGCCGTACAAACCCTGCTCTGCTCATTCTCTTTAGCAGCTTGCAATTTCAGGCTCCTGAATGTCCTGGCTGCACCTCATTGTTACTGATTAATCCCATTCCCTTCGTTGAGCTACGTCTATTGGTCCAGATTCCCAGCCAGTGTAAACCAACTTCACTCCATTGGCTTCAAAGAACAGCACCAATTTACACCAGCTGAGGATCTGGCCCATTGCCTTTATTTGGGGGGAGGGGTCCCCCCAGTTAGATTGGTTCATTTCAACCAAAATTTAGGGATGGGGCAGTACAGTTTCTGATCTCTGTTATACTGGTATAAATCTGACTAAAGTTGCTTTCAAACTACGCTGCCTTTGCATTGGTATAACCGAGATCAGACTCTATCCCCTTGCCTCCACTAATCCTTGGGGGTGCATCAGGCCTTTGGACTGGCTAGCAAAGGTAAAGTGTGCACCATGCAATCTCTGATTGTGGAGAAGTGGTGAACTAGGAGCTAAACATATATTTGAAAGGAAACTTTGGGATGGGTAGAAAATTTAATACAAACTAAAAATACTTTGCAAATCATTTTGTCACACACACCACATACATGTTTCTTAAATAAATGTCACAAAGTAATTAACTTCCACTGCATATAAATCAATCACACACATTTTGGGGGGGGGGGAGGCGTGGAAAAAAACGTTGGTATAAAATGCTGCAGTTTCAGTTCACTGTCACTCTTACAGTATTCAATGTCTCCTTCTTAGTCTCTTGTAAGACCAATGAAGTAACACAAGGATGGGTTGGTTTGGGGTTTTTCCATGGTTACAAATCTTTCAAACTCTCACTGTGGTAAAAGTTGGGTCATTTTTTCAATTTTGGGGGGGCTAATTTCTAGTGTAAATTTCCAGCACCCAACACTCAGCCTACATATACACCAACAGACAGAATATGCAAAGGGGGTGGGAATATGTTTCAAGATAGCTATTGTTCTCTCAAAGGTGTGTGTGGAGGGGAAGGGGGTTGGGTCAGAAACGTTATCGTATGTTTCCATGGTAGAGGTTTCTGCCAGGTCTGGGCCCCAGTATTTCTCCCTCTAGACATCAGTGCAGTTCTGGCAGCTGAATGCCAGCACTGGAAGTCATTATGCAGCATTCGTGATCTCACAAAGTTGAGCCATGTGCTATGTGCCATCCTGCTGTGAGAGAGACCAGGTTGAAACATACTCAACACGTTGTTTGGTTTAATCACAGCTCCCTTGCTCTGGAAAGTTAGGGCTGTGCCTTGCCAGTTAAAGCCAGTCTGCCTGGAGGATATGGATTTCTGAGCATTGTTGTAGAATGCCCTTTGCTGTCTATAATTTTCTTTGACATGTTTCTCAAAAAACTGGTCTCTGTGACATTCAGGGGATTTTCCTTTGTGGACATGCAGAATTTCTATGAATATAGTTTTTTGTAAACATTTTGTAACAATTTTGGTTTCATAGTAACTGTGTTACTTGCTGATCATTCTAGGCTGATGTAAATAAAATTTCCAGGAAAAAAAGAAAAAAAATTCTGATTATTTTCCTTTTTAAGACACTGTGATATATCAAAGTGCACAGTTTGCTGTATGAGGTAATATGGTTTTAAATTTTAAATAAAAAATAATTTCTAGGAAAAAACAGTTTGTGCCCATTTGTATTAAAGGTGCCTCTTTAGCCTTGCTGGAATCTGTGTCTTAAGAGCAACTACATTGTTTAATGACTTCCCTAATTGATTCCCCTTCTAGACAGATAGTTCTCCCTCCTCTTTTCTCCCCCCCCCCCCATTAAAAACCTTGTAACAAACAAACAAAAATATCACACAACAGAACCAAAACCCACTCCAAGCCGAGCTTTTACCCCAAAGGGTAAAATCCACAGCACAAGAAGACACGCCTGGCAACTTCTCCAGTTCAGTGTCCCCATCAATAAGGAGAGTTGTCATTTCGTGCCAGCTGGGAAACCACCCAGGCCTTCTCCACTAATGCACAGGCCACATGAGGGCAGGTTGGGGATGCAGAGTTGAGCTGGTCAAAATATTTTCCTCAAAAAAAAAAAAAAAGGGGGGGTTGAAAAATGGCTTTTTTACCCTGAAATGAAAATTTCACTGGCACATTTTCGTTTCAGCCATATTTTTCTGAATGTTTTCAATGAAAACCCCAAAATCAACACTTTTCTCTCTCTCCTTTTTCTCTCCATTTTCCAGTGAGGAAAAGAAGGGGGTTGGGAGAAGGGAAACTGAAAGCCATGATTTTTTTTCTACAGTTTTTGTTTTGTTAATAATCAGGGGGGGAAAAATCAGCAAAAAGTTTCCTCAAAAGAGGAAAAAAATTGTATTTCTTTGGAAGTTCTTCATAGAAAATATTTAGTGTTTCCCAACTGGCTCTGCTGCGCTGCACTTTTAGGTCAGTATTTGCTAAGCGCAGAGCAGAGTGCTTTGGGCTCTGGAAGAAAGAAGCAGCAGCCACCATAAAAAGCTTGAATTCAGCCCATGGACGTTCCTTATGATTCTTCTTCATATTATCAAAGGGGTTTGTGTTCTGATGAAAAGCCTGGAGAACTGGGCATCTGGGCCCGATTCCAAAACCCACTGAAGTCAATGGAAAGACTCCCACATTTGCCCTACGTTTGCTGAGACATGAACTGGTGATGGGACTTACCCCCCTTCCTTAGAGAAAGTTCTACGCAGGGTAGGTAATAAAGTCCTGATGCTTCACAAGGCACTGCCTGTAAACATGTGCTCCCTATATTACATAGCACGCAGGCTGAAGTTGTGCTTTTCCTTATGAACGGATGCTAGATTCACCGAGTCTAGGAAAGGCTCACAGATTCCCTGTGGGCTCCAAGTCTTAGAAAACCTGTTTACATCTTCCCCACTTTGATGTGAGTCTAATGGCAATTAAAAATCTTATTAGCTTGATAAAAGCTTAAAGGACTCAAAAGGCCAATGTTTATTAGTATGAACTCTTTACAGTTCTGCCTTATTATATTAAGCCAGGGAGCTTAGATTTCGGCATTTAAGGGGGAAAATTCTACTCTTCTATCTGTACCTTGCATCTCAGTTCTGACATTTTGAGTGAAATGTGCCATAGGAAACCCTGCATGTGTAGGCTGAGGAGAATATTGGAGGCAAGATTACTATCACTTCCATTAACCCTGAGAGGCTCCAACTGAGATCTGAGCCCCATTGTACGAGGCACTTCACAAACACATAGTGGGAGACAGCCCCTGCCCCAAAGAGCCTACAGTCTAAAGGGAAAAGACAATCAAAAGGGTATGCAAAAAAATGACCCCAATTTACAGATGGATAAACTGAGGCACAGTGTGAGTCAGTCATTTATGCAAAGTTAGTTGGGGCATAAATGCAGCAAAGTCAGACCTCCTGAGGCTCCGTCCAGTGCTTTAACTACAAGGTCATTCTTCTTTCCTATGAAGGTCAGGCCCCAAGGGTTTCAAATTGCTCACATATAGTGAATGGCTGCATTTGAAAAGATAGGCCACAGTATTGAGAAGTTCTCTGCGGAGACATTTCTCCGAGGAAGACTCCACTCTGTCATGAGTAGAGGCCTGACGGTAGGCACAGGGTCAAATTTTCAAAAGCACATAAGTGACTTGGGAGCCTAAGTCCCATTTTCAAATGTTACTTTGGTTTCTAGGAGCCCGAGGATCACTGAAAGACAATGGGACTTGCTCAAGTGCACCCTAGGTCACTACTGAAAATGGGATTTAGCCTGTTAACCACAAAGCCTTCACTTATTGCACGCTGGAAAGGCACAAACAATTCCTTTCCATATTAATTATTTTTAAGGGGCACACTCATAAATTCTCTCATTTCTATTCTCTCCCAGCACCTGGAAAATGGCAGCCTTGAAATTTGTGCCCAGAAGAGTGTGTCAGAGGATGGCAGAGATTCACTTTTAGGTTCTGAACTCTGATCAATATGCAGAGAATATGTCAAAAAAGGGAAAAAGCAGCAGATGTTCTTGCAAGGCTCCTGCTACATAACCTAGCACAACAGCGGTGTCTACGGTAGCTAAATCCACGCACATGGTGTAGGCTGAATCAGGGAAGAGGCTGTTTTCTCTTAACTAGAAAAGCACAAGTCAGGCTAGGCCAGGCAGACCTTGTCTGAGCCAGCAACGCAAGCTTAGGTCTGCATTAATAATATGAAAAATTGTCAACATGAATCGTTAGTCAGAGGTGGTCAATAACGAGGGAGAGCAATTAACCTTATCAGTCAATGAATCACCTTTCACTGACCATGAACCTGCCACCTCAAAACTGCCAATCATGCCAGGCATGAATAATTACTCTGACAATAGATTTCAGTCACAAAAAGGGAAAATGCATTACCTTTCAGTGTTAATTAGTCCCAGGGAGTGAGAGAGGGGGAACAAAGGAGCAACAGGGGAGGGGAGGAAAAGCTGCCCATCTATCTTCCCACTTCTCTCTCTTCAACCAGGAAGCTTTGAAAATTCTTTCAGATGATCAGGGAAAGCAATTTTTCGTAATGCCTATTTATTGATTTATTTATTTAAACAAAGTCTCATTTTCGAATGTAGCATCCGGGCGTTTGTCTCTAGGTCTGGGTGGGTATTTTCCTCATGTTGAATCTCAGAAAATCTGATCCCACCTCACATCTCAGCCTGCATCACCCGTTCTGCCACTTCTCAGCATGTGCCATTAGCCCTGTGCAGGGCAAAAGGACAGCTGGATTTTCAGTCATTCTCTGCTGTCACATTACGTTTTGCCCTGTTCTTTCTCTCTTTTAAACCCTCTTCAGTTATGAAGGATTTGACGAAGCTCTGACTTACACAGCAGAACATGCCTGGTTTTCTGGAAGACAGTCACAACTTAGAGGGTAGGGTCAAAAATACAGTGAGGTTAGTCCGTTTAAGAAGAGCATGTGAAAGGCATGGCAGCAGGAGGTGGTTTATTACATTTAAATACCGATAGTAATCGGTACAGTACAAATATCTGTAAAGATGCATAATAATTAAAGGTTTCAGAGGAACAGCCGTGTTAGTCTGTATTCGCAAAAAGAAAAGGAGTACTTGTGGCACCTTAGAGACTAACCAATTTATTTGAGCATGAGCTTTCGTGCTGTGGCTCACGAAAGCTCATGCTCAAATAAATTGGTTAGTCTCTAAGGTGCCACAAGTACTCCTTTTCTTTTTATAATAATTAAAGTATCTTTGTACCTGTACAATGCCTTGTGTTTGAGGACCTACAAGGTAGTTTAATATTGTAAAATTCATCCCTACTGTGAATTCACTCACTTAATATTATACCAGGAGTTACTTTGGCCCATGGAGCATCTAACTCCAATTTAAAAGATGAGGAAATTCAGGCCAAGTGACTTGACCAGGCCACATGGTAGGTCGGTGGCAGAACTACAGACTCCCAGGCCTTTGCATTAAGCACTAGGTAGCCTCCCTTCCTGTCATGCTACCTGCAAGGTCTTCAGATCAAAACTGACCAAGACCTGACTTGTCTGCAAGGGGACGGTAAATGAAAAGGGGAGGAAGAATCAACGGATTCCTTATGGGAAAAGGAGCAAAAAGGGACAAACTGGATGAATTTTCTCCTTAGTCACAGCTCTGCATCCCTGATGGGAGTTGCCCATGTGAGCACAGACTTGGGCCCAAAATGTCCAATGACTCAAAATTGTTAAGACCTAAACTCCAGGGAGCAGAATTTTGTTGGCCTAGACACACCAGTCTGAATTAAATTAGAACAGAGCTGCACCTTTACTAGAAACTCAACTTGAATCCAAATCTGCTTGTGACTTTTGTGAAAGTTTGGTAACATTTCCTTTTAACGTTCCCCATCAGCCTCTGCGTTGGATATTTTCAGCCAGAAGCTGAAATATCAGATTTCTCAGGAGGCCAGAGTTGTATATTTAAACACCTGTTGGTAACCAGACAGTGCTGGGAGTCCAGCTACAAAAGCTGTTCTAGTGACTTTCCCAGGTAGGTTTCTAGAACAAAGCAGTTGAGGCAGATGGTAAAACCCCAAGATTTTTAGATTCTTCCCAATGCAGAAAGCACCTGAAATAGCTAAGACAAACTTCCGGAAATTGTTCCCCGGGTCCCTCCTGCAGTTCAGCAGCATGAAGTATTCTAGCTTTACAGTTAACTTCCCATTAACTCCTTGGCTAACCTGTCGCTAGTCCAAGTCCCCCTCTCCGTCAATCATTCCTTCCTTCAACCCCACAAGGCCTTGTCTATACAAGCAGGCTGCACTGGCAGAATTTTCTTTACATTGGTGGGCACAGCCACATTTCCTCCCATCAGCTGTTCCCTGAACTCCCATCCATCGAATGGATGTCTGGACTCTGTGGATGGAGCAGCCAGCCTGGTTTTTACTTATTAATGTATTCCTAACGTCAAACTGTTCTTTCATCCCTGACAACAATTCTGGGAAGTCTGGGCCTGCTTTTCACAGCTCTCAGACAGCCTCGATGCACAGCCACTTCCTCTGTCCTGGAAGCAGCAACCTGTGAAATCTGGGATTCTCCAGCCAGAGTGTCACGAATTTGATATTGGGTCAAATTTGATCCTTTTCACTTCTGGGAGAAATTGTCTTTCAGTTTTGTGAAAGCCAGCCCGGAACCTGGAGGCCAGACAAGGCCCATCGTTCA